AGATGAGTCCTCTTCACATCCTCCTTCAATAGCTACATGTAGGGGATTGGAAATGCAGCCCAACTTCTGTAACTCATCAGCTTGAGATGCTTGCCCATGTTCAAATCTGGAGAACCTTAGATATAAGCTGGCAGACAGATTCTCAGAATTGAAAAGTTGTCTTTTCTTTACCAAGATCGCTCTTAAAGCCATTTCTGCATTCTACAAATTTGGTTACTTATGTGGAAATCAAAGGCCACACACTCAACCAAACCACAGAATCTATGCAGTCTGTGTGGATGGAAAAGCAACTCAACAAACGTCCTGTCCAAGAACAGAAGGAAATTACCTGAGGCATCAATCTTTTAGAGTTTTACGATATATCAGTTCTACCCATATTATAACTTCAACAACAGAATCCCAATTGATATCGAATTGAATTATTGATCAACTACACTAGATTAAATGGGATGGCAGTTAAGTACTTAAGCTCAGGAAAGACACAAAAATAAAAATAAAAAAGATATAACTAAAGAAATTACATCACCACATCACAATAAAGAATAATCCCATATTGCATAATTTTTGTCAACCTAGAGAACTTCTCATTGATATTTGAAATTCGAAAAGTAACAAAGATGGAAAAATAAACATGCCTTGAAAGAATGTACAAAAAACCCAAATAAGTAACCCCAATATATCAAAATAAAAGTTCAACGGAAAAAAAGTACCCCAACATACATAAACATCTAGCAGCAGCACTCCTTAGAGAGTTTTCTAGCATGCTTTAAACGAAGACTTACAAATATAGAACAGAAAATGTGTGACTTCACCAAAGAGCTCGTCGAAAAATCTCTAAAAAAATACTTTGATTTTCATCCTTTATTGCAATTTCACTACTATTAGTTTGGGGTTTCCGTTTATGCCAAAATATAAGTAACCCTAGTGCATAGAACAATAAGAAGTATTCACCTATATCTTTTAATGCCTAAAACCTTCTCATTTATCCACTCTTTAAGGAATGCATACACATACACATCAACTAAATGGTAAAAGGATATGGAAAAAGATGAACAATCCACTCATCTACAGCGATAAACAAACATCTAAGATCAACCGAGTTATGCCACAGTACCAAACATGTGTGGAGACAAAAACATAATGCATAAAGTGATTGATTGCTGAATAAAACGACTGATAACTGACAAATCACACGACAAGTGATTGATTACTTAACGTTTCATTAAGGATGCCATATGAAGCAAATCCAAAACAGAAGAAACCCAACGAGAAAAGAAAAAAAACACACACACACACACACACGTTTGGGAAAGAGTAAAAGAAAATGAGAAATAAAATGAACAATCTACATAATACCACGATAGAAAAACATCAAAGACCAACCAAAAAATGCACATTCTATACTCACATACACACTCATTCGATTTGGAACATTGACGAATCACAAAACAAGTGACTGATTGCCAGATAAGAAACTGAATTCGGTCAAATGGGGGCAATAACAAGCGAAAAAGAACACGTCAAGAAAAGAAAATGAACAGACGACTCATATAATACGATAGAAAAAACATCAAAAATCAACAAAACAAGCACAGTCCAAACGCCAAACATGCAACAGACACACACACTCGGTTCGATTTGATCAACTGAAAAATCACACACAAAGTTATAGAATACCGAACAAAACGATTACGGGTACCTAAAGAAACTGAATTCGGTCAAAACGGGAAGAATTAAAAGCACCAGAAGCCGGAAAAACCTACCATCAACAATACTGAAGCGGAGAAACGTGATCAGAGAGCTGAAATGTGAGGGATAATTCCATGGAGATGGATTTGGAGAGATTTGGGCGGCGTTTTCCGAGAGATTTGGCCGACGTTTTCCGAGAGATTTGGAGGTTCCCGATGGAAATGGAATTGGAGAAAATAGTAGAACGAACACGAAGGCGAAATGTTGCCGCGGACTCGGAGGGTCTCTCAGTATAAGCGTTCCGATTATTTTTCGACCATTTTCTCGGGATAAATTAAAAAAATAAAGTAAAAAATAATTTTACTTCAGATAATTTTCTTTTTTTTTACTCGACCCAACTCGAAAATTTTCACAACCCAATCCAAATCTCGTACTACTCTAGCGAACTTGCGAACCTATTAATATGGAAAGATTCTTAATATAATTTATATATTTTTATTTAGCTTGGGTCAACTCATAAGCTTTATCCACGAACCCGAAACCGAATCAATCCAGTTCGGGTTCATAAAAATGAACTCAACCCTACACGAAATGCTAATCCAACCCAACCCTTATAGTTCAGGTTGGGTTTGTCCGGATTGTCGTGTTGAACGTACACCCCTATTTCCAACCATTTTTATGCTTTCAAACAAAAAAAAAAATTAATAATTATGAAGAACGGCTTATATTTAGATTCAGTACTTGATATTTTTTACATTCTCTGTCAGTATATGGTTGCATTTCTTATTCTTAAGGTTTTAACGCTTATATTTAGGGTTCAAGGCTATCTAGGCGTCTAAAACTCTTATATTTAGGGTTTAGGGCTATCTATGCGTCTAAAACTCTAATATTTAGGGCTCAAGGCTACTCTATCTACCGGGAATTGGATCAGCTTCTAACGCTCCACGCCATTGCGGTTAGATGAGCGCCTATTGGATCAACATCTTCTAGATCTTCACCTACTCGACTGATAGACATCTTTTATAGTTGATTTACCTGTGAAGAAAAAAAAAATATCAATAACAGATAGGTGTCGTGGCATTAATTTCTCAAACAAATAAACCACAAGGTCGAGTTGCATTTATCAATTTTTATATTAAATAAAAAAAAAATTGTATGTTTAATTTAAAAAATTATCTAGAACAAGAAATAAAAAAATGGTTACCAAATATGTTTTTGTTTTTTTAAATAATAAAATATTAGAGAAAAAAAATATACAATAGTTCAATATTTTGTTTAAATAAAGGAAATAAAACGAGGAAATTACTAAACTATCCTCAACTCTCTCTAAAGGAGTTTACAAGTTTTGTCACAAAAATGTTCGTAAACTTTTAAAAGTTTCAATAATATCCTTAAAATTTTAATTTTGGATAAAAATAGTTAATATTTTGTTTAAAAGTTATCTCGAGTTTCAAAAGTTTCATTAAACTAAATAATTTTTTTATAAAAAATCTTAATGTTTTTTTAGTTTAAAGATATTTTTGAAATAGGTGGAGGGCGAAGAAGGCTCCCTTTCGGGGGGCCCGAGCCATCGTGAGATACCACTCTGGAAGAGCTAGAATTTTAACCTTGTGTTGGACCTACGGGGCAATGGACAATCTCAAGTAGACAATTTCTATGGGGAGTAGGCCTCCCAAAAGGTAACGGAGGCGTGCAAAGATTTCCTCAAGCCAGACGGAGATTGACCTTCGAGTGCAAAGGTAGAAGGGAGCTTGACTGCAAGACCCACCCTCGAGCAGGGACAAAAATCAGCTTTAGTGATCCGACGGTGCCGAGTGAAAGGGCCGTCACTTAATAGATAAAAGTTACTCTAGAAATAACAGGTTGATCTTCTATTCCAAACTAAATATAATATTATTTTTATTTGTGTTTTTTTAATTGGGAATATTATTGAATTTTTTAAAAGTTTATGATTACTTTTTAAACCAATTTAGATAACCGACTTATTTTTAGTGGAATTTCAACCCATTTTAAATAACTTAAATAATCACAATTTTAAAACAAAAATAATATGTCATTAATGACGATAATAATAATAATAATAAATTAATGACGTGGTAGATATGTGTTTTAGTGACGTGGCAAGATGGACAGATTATGTAAGACACGTATATGCGACATATGGTTTGTCATAGTACATGTGGCAAAATCTCTTTTTAATATTTTAAATTTTAAAATTAATTTAGAAAAATATACATTTTAAAAATAAGTTTAGAAATTATATTATTAAAAAAAATTATATAATTATTGCTTTATAAATATTTCAAAAACTTTTATAAAATTGACCAGATGATGACCTGAAACGACGTGACTATGACTAGAAAGCTTGTTTGAATTAAATAAGGACATTAACCCGAAATTATATTTCAAAAGCAATATTGAAAACATTTATGCAGCGTAAATTGTTTCCAAACTGTCTTTAGAGTAGACAATTGTTCGAAAATTTGACAAAATTAATATGGCGATGACCTGAAACGACGTGACTATAACTAGAATACTTGTTTAAATTAAGGGTGTTAGTCGATTTTTTATTAAAAAAAACAGTGTCGAAACATTTATGCAATGTAAATTGTTTCAAACCTGTCTATAGAATAGAGCATTGTTATAAAGTTTGATGAAAAATTGATACGTCACTGAAATACCTGTTTGATAGCAAGAACATTAACGAATTTCGAACTTCAAGAACAGCATTGATATAACTAAAACCTTAAACAAGGTAACTATAATTAGGGTTATTGTTTAGATTAAGTAAGAACATAAACTCGATTTTTTACTTCCAAACACACGGTTGAAACGTAACTAGAACTGTTAGATGAACACAACTTTCTACAATGATATGATATTGTCCACTTTAAACATACCAATTGAGAGAGTATTCTTTGTTTATAAACCTATGATCATTCCCTAAATTAGCCAATGTGGATGAATATAACTCTCCACAATTATATGATATTGTCAACTTTGAGTATAAGCTCTTATGACGTTGCTTCGTGTTTCCCAAAATGTCTCATCCCAATGGAGAGTATTATTTGTTTATAAACTCATAATCATTCTCTAAATTAGGAGTGAGATTTTCATCCTCCAACTCAAAAATTAAAAATTTTAAAGAATTCACACATTCATATTGAAATGTCTAAGAATTTCAACTCAATTACAGTGTTCTTGTTTGCCTTCGAATGGAAGAAGGAATTGACTGTTCTACCGAGAGAAAAAAGGCATGTAAAACTCAAGAACAAGCTCATAGCCTTCTCATCAACCACTACGACCCACCAACTCCAAAAGAATTCAGAATCAAATGGCAAAAAAGGTGGATGGAAATTAAAAAGGTAACCCAATTCAATTACGGTTTCTCAAGAAAATCCCCACAAGGCAGCCACTCATTTGTTCTTCCTTTTCTCTCTCCTTCGATTCCCACAGCTCATTGATTCTCGCCCACGATTGAACAAACAAGCAAAGAATCGTTCAAAATTTGGATACCCCATGAATTTTTTAGGATACCCATAAATCTTTTAGGTTTATCTCTGCATACCCAGTAACCCCATGATGGTTTTTTAGGTTATAAACAGATCTTCTGTCAATTTCGAAGTGTTGGGGCTTTGAATCTCGAAAACCCCACATCCCATTTCAGCTTTTCGAGGTTGAATTTCTGGGTTGTTCTAAAGGGTTGCGAATGTCATGTCCAAGCAGTAGCTTCCGCTACAATGGCAGCCACTGTGCGTGCCCACCAGGCCAGCTTCTCAATCGAAGCAACAATAGCTGTGTTATCTTCAATAGCCCTTCGGTTATCACTACAGGGCGGTTTGAGAGCTATGCTGTTAGCTTCCCTGAGACCGTTTTCTCCTTTGATTCAATCAGGAAGTTCACTCGGTCTCAGGCTGTATTTCTTGAAGCTACTCTGTTCTTGCTGCTTTCTTGGCTCTTTTTCTGTATGTTCCTTAGGTTCATGAATCTTGGAGATGGGAGAAATATCTGGTTCAGGATGAGATGGTGGGTTAGCAGATTGGATGTTTGCTTTGCCACAAGACATTGGCTGGTTAGCTCTTAGCTTTGCCTCTTCTGTTCATATTTGGAATGAAATCCTTGCTTTCTTTTGTTTTTGAATGGCTTTAATTATGACCGTTTTGTTTTGAGTTGTTTATTTAATATTCTTCACTGTGCATTATGCGAGATGTTCCCCTGTGTTGACTGTTTCAATTCTTGTGTTAACTGATATTAATATGGTTTCAGTTATGGGACTTGTAAATCCTCAACATGAACCATTAATTAGATAAAGCGGAGATCCCATATCAGTTCGGAAATAGAACGAAACATTCTTTATAAGGGTGTGGAAACCTCTTCCTAGCAAACGTGTTTTAAAAACTTTGAGGGGAAACCCGAAAGGGAAAGCCCAAAAAGGACAATATTTGCTAGTGGTGGGCTTGGATTGTTACAAATGGTATTAGAGCTAAACATTGGGTGATGTGCTAGTGAGGAGGCTGAGCCCCAAAGGGGATGGTCACGGCGGTGTGCTAGCAAGGACGCTGAGCCTTGAAGGGGAAGGATTGGGGGGGTCCTACATCGATTGAAGAAGGGAATGAGTGCCAACGAGGACGCTGGGCCTCGAAGGGGGTGGATTGTGAGATCTCATATTGATTGGGGAGGAGAACGAAACATTTTTTAAAAGGGTGTGGAAACCTCTCTCTAGCAGACGTGTTTTAAAAACCTTGAGGGGAAGCCCGAAAGGGAAAGCTCAAAGAGGACAATATTTGCTGGTGGCAGGCTTGAACTGTTACAAATGGTATTAGAGCCAGACATTGGACGATGTGCCAGCTAGGAGGCTAAGCCTCAAAGGGGATGGTCACGGCGGTGTGCTAGCAAGGACACTGAGCCCCGAAGGGGGTGGATTGGGGGTTCCTACATCGATTGGAGAAGGGAACGAGTGCTCAGCGTCTCGCTGGTTCTTGAAGGGGGTGGATTGTGAGATCTCACATTGATTGGGGAGGAGAACGAAACATTTTTTAAAAGGGTGTGGAAACCTCTCTCTAGCTGACGCGTTTTAAAAACTTTGAGTGGAAGCCCGAAAGGGAAAGCTCAAAGAAGAAAATATCTACTAGCGGTGGAGTTGGGCTGTGTTACAAATGGTATTAGAGCTAGACACTGGGCAATGTGATCGCCCAGTGAGGAGGCTGAGCCCCAAATGGAACGTGCATACTTTTTATATGTTTGGGATACAGAAATGTTCTTGCTTTTAATTAGCTTGCTACCTTTATTTATGTTGAAGGACGACCAAAAGGTAGTTACGAAACGTAAAACGGAACTTGGTGGAACATTCTCAATAGCAAGTTGGATTCTTTTCATCGGCTTGTTTGCTGCGTAAGTACACATTTTCTCGTATACTAAAAACAATTCTCGTGTTCGTTTCATATTGACTTGGTCTTCCAGTGTTATCTCAGGTTGCTTTACCAAATCATATCAAAGAGAAGTATCGAAGTGCATAACGTGAAAGCAGCAAACGCACCAGACTTGGTTTCCTTTGTGAATGATATGGAATTTAATATAACCACGGTCTCGACTATGAGTTGTGCGAATATACGCGGTCTTGGTACTGCTGTATTTGGAAATCCTGGTTTTCTGGAACAGTCAGTAATGCCTCTTTCAAAGTTTGCGAACTACTCGTGTCAAAACACGAGTGAAGGGCCAACTATAAGTGTTAAGTGTGAAAGATGTCGTTTCATTCAGGACGATCTTTACGTCTCGTGGCAGTTTGTTGATCTTCCAAATAACCCTGCAAGTGCGGTCGGATTTCAGTTTAACTTCTCTGCTAAGGATCATGTTCAAAAAAATCAGGAAAGTTTTGTTAGTGGAACGTTAAAAAATCGAAGCAATTTCGATGATACGCCAGTTACGTTCAGAGGGAAGAATGCAAATATACTGCAATTTAACCTATTTCCAAGAATATACCGCAGTAAACGTGATTCTAAGCTCATGCAGCCTTTATTTCACGAGTTCGTTTCGGGTTCATCCTTTCAAAATACCAATGAGCTCCAACTATCCCTTGAAAATGCCAATGATGGACTTATCAACATTACCTTGTACATAAATCTTCTCTCATCCTACATTGTTGAGGTGGAGACTCAAAATATTTTGGGCCCTGGTAAGTGTTTTGCTTCATTGACGTATGTACCCTTCTTCACACACGCTTCGTTTTTGTATGTTTGCACAAACAAAATGAATTGTTCGGATCTTGAGCTAGGGGTGGTTGTTCATTCAGACTTTGTATATACCGAAAATAACGTGTCCTTGTCCTAGATTTTCTGAAAGTAATGTGTAGGTGTGAGATCCCATGTCGGTTGGGGAGAAGAATGAAACATTATTTATAAGGGTGTGGAAACCTCTCCCTAGCACACGTGGTTTAAAAACCTTGAGGGGAAGCCTGAAAGGGAAAGTCTAAAGAGAACAATATCTGCTAGCTGTGGGCTTGAGTCGTTACAGATGGTATCAAAGCCGGACACCAGGCGATGTGCCAGCGAGGAGGCTGAGCCTCAGAGGGGGTGGACACAAGGCAGTGTGCCAGCAAGGACGCTGGGCCCTGAAGTGGGGTGGATTGGGGGGTCTCACATCGATTGAAAAAGTGAACGAGTGCCAACGAGAATGTTGGGTCCTGAACGGGGGGTGGATTGTGAGATCTCACATCGGTTGGGGAGGAGAACGAAACATTCTTTTATAAGGGTGTGGAAACCTCTCCCTAGCAGACACGTTTTAAAAACCTTTAGGGGAAGCTCAAAAGGGAAAGCCCAAAGAGTACAATATCTGCTAACGGTGGGCTTAGGCCGTTACCGAATATGTCTAGATTCTCGTGTAGATCTATCTAAAAATTAATGGTTTGCCTCTATAAAAGTTTAATCTCTTTTGAGTTTTCTAATGTTTGTAATGGTATTCGACTGATACTGATTGGCCCTACAATATCTTTGTTATGCAGTTAGCTTTCTTGCTGATCTTGGTGGCCTATATTGCATTAGTGTTGGGATTTTCTTCTACCTTCTTGTGCAGGTATTACTTTTTTGTAAAGGATTTAATTATTACACGTCCTCGAACTTTTTATGTAACATCCCAAGTCCACTGGTAGCCGATATTGTCCTTTTGGGCTTTTCCTTTCTGGGTTCCCTTCAAGGTTTTAAAACACGTCTGTTAGGGAGAGCCTTCTACACCTTTATAAAGTATGTTTCATTCTTCTCCCCAACCGATGTGAGATCTCACAGTCCACCCCCCTTCAGGGCCCAGCTTCCTCGCTAGCACTCGTTCACTTCTCCAATTGATGTGGGACCCCCTAATCCACCCCCTTTAGGGCCCAACGTCCTTGCTGGCACACCGCTTTGTGTCCACACCCCTTCGAGACTTAGCCTCCTCGTTGGCACATCGCCCCATGTCTGGCTCCGATACCATTTGTAATGACCCAAGCCCACCACTAGCAGATACTATCCTCTTTGGGTTTTTCCTTTCAAGCTTCCTCTCAAAGTTTCTAAAACGTGTCTGCTAGGGAGAGGTTTCCACACCCTTATAAAAAATGTTTCGTTCTCCTCCCCAACCGGTATGGGATCTCACAATCCACCCCCCTTCAGGGCCCAGCTTCCTCGCTAGCACTCGTTCATTTCTCCAATTGATGTGGACCCCCTAATCCACCCCTCTTTAGGGCCCAACGTCCTTGCTGGCACACCGTCTTGTGTCCACCCCCCTTTGAGGCTCAGCCTCCTCGTTGGCACATCGTTCGGTGTTTGACTCTGATACCATTTGTAACGGCCTAAGCCCACCACTAGCAGATATTATCTTCTTTGGGTTTTCCTTTCAAGCTTCCCCTCAAAGTGTTTGCTAGGGAGAGGTTTCCACACCCTTATAAAGAATGTTTCGTTCTCCTTCCCAACCGATGTAGGATCTCACATTTTATGATGTCCTAGTGTTCCTCTTCCAGCTTCTTATTTTGCAAGAACTATATATACACAATATTTTCTAATAAAAATATAACGTCTGTTACAAGTCGTCATCATAGCACGAGACGTCATTTCACAAGTGAGCTCTGCATTTCCTCTCTCATTAGGCATATTTTGTCACTGAAACCGAGTATCGCGTCTTTCTCCAAGATCGAGTAATTATTTCGCTTCCCTAATTTGGTTTGTTTTGTAGTTCGAGTACAGAATTAAAAAGCTTCGCAACGAAGATACTGTTATGCGTAAAATTAGAAATCGAAGAAAAGCACAAGAGCATTGGAATAAGGTGATTCTTCTGCATCTTTTTCTCTCAAATTATTTGATATACCAGTCAAAGGGGTATCGGTGGGCGTAGGGTAGGACAGGTTTCGAGCGATATAGTCGATTTCCGAAACTAAGTTCTTGAATTACAATGGGTACCGAACTGACTTATTTTCTTTTCTAGTTGAGGAAATATGTAATGTATACATGGAACTGCAGTGCACTGCATGACAATTGTAACGATTCATCAAAAACGTCAAATTGCGCCAACTGCATTGGTCAACCGGCTCGTAAGGATGAATCGTTGCGCCAGCGAAGGTTAAAGAATGGAAGCAGTACTGCTATCAGTTTTAAGTTAGATGTTAATGGATCTGCCAAGAAGGTAATGTTCTTGTTGTCTTACATCTGCATGAGCTAATATCTTCTGAAATTGTCTCTTCATGTCCTAATTGATTAGACTTATCATATGCAGTCTTCTAAAGATGAGAAATGTCCAAAGGCAAGAGCTACTGACCAGGAATTGAAAATGCTAGCAACCAAACAAGAGCCGGTAAGTTTTGGGGTCGTTTCGCATTAAAATTTTGACCGTGCAATTCTAATGGATTTGCATCTAAAATGTGAGATCCCACGTCGATTGGAGAGGGAAACGAAACATTTCTTATCAGGGTGTGGAAACCTCTCCCTAGTAGACGTTTTTAAAACTGTGAGGTTGACGATGATACGTAACAGGCTGAAGTAGATAATATCTGCAAGTGGTGGGCTTGGACTGTTACAAATGGTATCAGAGTCGGACACTGGGTGGTGTGCCAGCGAGGACGCTGGGCCCCTAGGGGGGTGGATTGTGAGATCTTACATCGATTGGAGAAGAGAATGAAACATTTCTTATAAGGGTGTGGAAATCACTCCCTAGTAGACGCATGTAAAACCGTGAGACTACGTAACGGGCTGAAGCGGACAATATCTCCTAGCGGTGGGCTTGGACTCTTACAAATGGTATCAGAGGCAGACACCGGGTGGTGCATCAGCGTGGACACTGGGCCTCTAAAGGGGGTGGATCGTGAGATCCCACATCGATTGGAGAGGGAAACAAAACATTCTTTATAAGGGTGTGGAAACCTCTCCCTAGTGGACGCGTTTTAAAATTGTGAGGCTGACGGTGATACGTAACCGGCCACAACGGACAATATCTGCTAGCGGTAGGCTTGGACTGTTACAAATGGTATCAGAGGCAGACATCGAGCGGTGTGCCAGCAAGGACGCTGGGACCCCAAGAGTGGTGGATTGTGAGATCCCACATCAATTGGAGAGGGGAATGAAACATTCCTTATAAGAGTGTGGAAATATCTCCCTAGTAGACACATTTTAGAACCGTGAGGCTGATGGTGATATGTAACGAGCCGAAACGGACAATACCTGCTAGCGGTGGGCTTGGACTGTTACATAAAATTTCTATTTTCCAAAAAGTATTGGAAATACATGTTGAATCACTAACCATTCCATTTTCAAATTCTCCATCCAGCCTCTGCAACATCAAGTGCTTGGTTCTACCCATGAGGCGAAACAAAGTTCAACCGTTCCATTCGAGGGAGATTCTTCACAACCCGGAGAATTTTCTCGTCCCGAAGATATCATACCACTGCCACCGTTGATAGGTAACTATCGCTGTTTTTTACGGGCAATTTCTGTCATTCCCACTCTTCCCTCCATTGACCAGAAGAGGAGGGGATGGATTATAGTTAGATCATGGAATGACCTGAATTTTCTGATGCAGACTTCAAACACAGTTCTGATATCGACATGTCCGATGTCTTGAAGAATATAAAAAGTTTGTACGAGTATAACGTATTTCTTAGAGAAAAGCTATTGTCCACTCAATCCGAGGTTCGTGCTTTATCAGCCAAGTCTGCCCCGTAAACGGAGCGCCCAATGGACGACTCGTAAGATTTAGGATTACTGCTACCCACTGTGTGCTCGTGGTTCTTTGCAGGCGCTCGGACGGTAGAGAGAGGCCTTGCCAATGTTCTTTGTTGTAATATTGTTAACATTTGTTTGTACTATAGCGTAGAACATGGATGGATTGCTGAGAAAAATGTATAGTTTTGTATCTGGTGTTGTATTCTGCTGCACATTACATGTTGCATTACTGTATGAACTCAAAGGACTTTGATTCTTTCTACTTGTGAATAACACAGGTTGGTTGAATTTTAGGAGCTTTTTTTCACTAAAAATATACACAAAATATGGGAAGCTTTATGTATTTTCACATTAATAGATGCTTCAAAATGGAGGACAAGAATCCTGCAATTTTGTAAAGAGGAGATAATGGACTGTTTCAGTATAATTTCTATTTTGTTTTTCTAATTTGATCATTCAACGAAGGTAACGGTCCAAGCCTATCGTTAGTAGATATTGTCTTCTTTGGGATTTTTCTGTTCGGTTTTTTCTCAAGATTTCAAAACGCATTCACCTGAGAGAGGTTTCTATGCCTTTACCCCCTGTTTCTCCACCAACAAATGTAAGATCTTACAATCCACCCTTTTAGAGGCCAAACATATTTGCTAGCACACCTCATGGTGTTTGGTTGTGATACCATCCTGGTGTTTGGTTGTGATACCATTTGTAATAGCTCAAGCTCACCGTTAGTTAATAAATATTGTTTTCTTTGGCTTTTCCCTTCTAGTCTTCTTTGGGCTTTCCCATCTAGTCGTGTTTGGTTGTGATACCATTTGTAACAACCCAAGTTCACTGTTAGTAAATATTGTTCTCTTTGGGCTTTCTCTTCTAGTCTTCCTCTCAAGGTTTTGCGATACCATTTGGAACCGCCCAAACTCATAGCGAGCCGATATTGACCTCTTTGGGTTTTCTCTTCTAGACTTCCTCTCAAGGTTTTTAAACAAGTCCAGGGAGAGGTTTCCCCAGCCTATTCGACTCTGATACCATTTGTAACAGCCCAAGCCTACGACTTGTAGCTATAGTTCTCTTTGGACTTTCCCTTCTGAGATTTTCCTCAAAATTTTAAAATACGTCCACTAAGGAGAGGTTTTCAACGTCCACTAAAGAGAGGTTTTTACATCCTTGCAAGGAATGATTAGTTCTACTCTCCAAGATGTGGGATTCATAGAAGAGGTAGGCTAAAAATACCGTCCGTTCTTGGACTTTGTTTCATTTTAATACATGCACTTTTAATTGTCTAAATTTAGTTCATATAACAACAATCGAAATTCATATTCCAAGGACACTTGCCCTTTAGTTTCGATAGACAACAAAGATTATTGAAATCCATGAACACTTCAGCTCGTATTTGCCTGAAAGGAAGATTTAAACCTCCGACCTAAAAAATCTCGATTTCAAAGAGAACCTAAATTAAACCCGTACAGTATCACAAAAAAACACGATATATCAACTGATATTAAGGAGTCTAAGTATATATTGAATTACCACACAAGATGCTCTACATTAAGCATCAACAGCAAAGAGAGAGCATCTAATAAAGCAAGAACTCTAGCACAAATTTAAGTTAGAAATCTTTACTTCGACCAACATAAAACTCGGATATGCACATCTCAATCAGTGAACAGATCTGTTCCCAATTTATGGTAGCACAACCTTTTCCTTACGACTCCAGTCGAACCACGAAATTGACCGGGGTCAAATTCCGAGCACATACAAGGAATACATAATCTAGAGAACGTAATGTTAGATTCTTATATTCGCCAAATCTATTGGCAACATAGGCTAGCAGTAGCAGCTGTAAGCATTTTTATCCGTCCCGGTCAGGTCGCCGATAACGACCATGTTCTTCATACGTTATCTTTGGCAATGCAATGTAGACAAACTTGCCATCACAAACACCTTTTTGTGGGCACCAGTAATCCTGACAACTTAGGACATAAGGTCAGGCCAGAAAATAAGAGCTAGAAAAGGTCTGCTTCCCCTCACCGTGTTTGAAGAGACTCGTTCTTCCGGCCTTGCTTGCCCAAAGCCTGAGAAAACATCCGCTTTGCTGCTCCTAAATGTTCCCTCTTCAAGTACTCGTTGTCAACACAACTTGCCTTTGGAGAACTCTTGTCTGCTTTCATTTTGGCAGCAGCAGCATTACTTCCCCTTGCCGATGACCGACTTGGATTACGATTCTTACTCACTTCGTTCTTTGAGTTCACACATTGATCTGTCTGCAATTTGGTTTTGTTAACAACTTCCACAGTAGAATCAGGCTCCTTCAATTCATTTGCTTGGACGTATGCGTTGTTAGCTACACTTCCTTGCTCTTTGCAATGGTTGGTAGTAGCTTCAGGAGATGAATTTATTCTCTTCCCCAGTGCATGTGCAATCATGCGGCGTGCAACCACGGGATCACAGCGTGGCTTCGGCTTCTCAGGTTCACTGTCTTCTCCTATGTGCATCATGAAAATTCGCTCACGAACAGCCAGATAGGCTGCTTCTCTTTCTTCGAAAGATCGTTGAGGAGGTGATTTCTCCAAACTCACTGAAATAGAATAACGAGTACAGGAAACTCAGTTTCTTATAATCCTTCTGAAAGAAAATCTGCAAATTTGGGATTGAACAAACTTCCACGTACATGTGAAAATTGGAACAGCATTTTTACCCCCCAAAAAAGATATTTACATACACATTCTATCATAGAGTTACTTTTCTCCCTAAACTTCAATCTTCAGATCCAGAATCCCTATCAAATCCTACTGAGAAGACCTTTTATTCTACTCTACAGCAACGTTTCTCCACACTGCATCACTCCCTTTGATGCCATTATATGGAGAGAGAGAGAGAGAGAGAGAGAGAGAGAGAGAGAGAGAGAGAGAGAGAGAGAGAGCGAGAGAGAGAGAGAGAGAGAGAGAGAGAGAGAGAGAGAGAGAGAGAGAGAGAGAGAGAGAGAGAGAGAGAGAGAGAGAGAGAGAGAGAGAGAGAGAGAGAGAGAGAGAGAGAGAGAGAGAGAGAGAGAGAGAGAGAGAGAGAGAGAGAGAGAGAGAGAGAGAGAGAGAGAGAGAGAGAGAGAGAGAGAGAGAGAGAGAGAGAGAGAGAGAGAGAGAGAGAGAGAGAGAGAGAGAGAGAGAGAGAGAGAGAGAGAGAGAGAGAGAGAGAGAGAGAGAGAGAGAGAGAGAGAGAGAGAGAGAGAGAGAGAGAGAGAGAGAGAGAGAGAGAGAGAGAGAGAGAGAGAGAGAGAGAGAGAGAGAGAGAGAGAGAGAGAG